AGGGTTAAGGGTTTAAGGGTTAAAGGTTTAGGGTTAAGGGTTTAAGGGTTTAAGGATGTAAGGGTTTAGGGTTTAAGGGTTTAAGGGTTTAGGGGTTTAAGGGTTTAGGGTTTAGGGTTTAGGGTGGAGTCCACTACACCACACTTTTTAGATTTTTGGTATGCTAAGCAAGCAGAGCCGTATGCAACTAGTAAGAAAGAAGTATGTTGGTTGTGGGTTTCAGGGGAATATGGTTAAGAGGCTATAGCGATTTTTCTCAGAGTCTGAAATCTGGTATTCACGGTTTTTCTGGTGTCCCTGTGCGGATTTTTTTCGATTGACAACTACTCTATGCAAGGAGGCACGCAGGTTTAGGGGTTAGGGTCCTTTTTCTTTATACTCATGTGTATTCCCAGGTAGTCACCAGTTTTGCCCCCAACAAGCTACAAATGTCTCCGTTAAGGATCCCGCCGCAAGTTCCTAGATTTCAGGACGAGGTACGGAAGAAGCAGGAAGTGCTGGCCCAGGCAGACGTGAATCTTAGGGTTTTAGGGTTTCGGGTTTTGGGAAATGCCTTCAACTTATATGGTTGTTCTCTTTTACTGTGGGCTTCAGTAATATGCCCACAAGCCCGTAATAAGCAGTACGTGCGCAATATAGTAAGATGACACAATGGGGTGCGGTGGGGGTGGGGTGAAGTTTGTAGTGCTTGCTGATGTGGAGACCTAGAGGACCTGGTAAAATACCCTAAACCCTCAACCGAACCTCAAACCCCAAAACCCCTAAACCCTAAACCCTATTGCAAGTTGCAGTGTACCATCCCATGGGGCTACTGATATCTGGCCCTGAGGCTGCTGGTGCGGGGAGAGGGGGGCCCTGAAATGTGTCTTGTGGGGGATTGCTGCAGAGGCTTAGGGTTTAGGGTTTAGGATTTAAGGTTTAGCGTTTAGGGTTGAGTGAGGATCCCGGCCCCTTGCTCGTTGAAAGTTTGCAGTTCTTAGAATCAGGTCCCCCTGTTTCATTACCTTAAAGGCCTGCCAGACAACCCAATTGTGAGACAGTCCCCTGAATGAAGCGCATGAATTTATGATCTGTATGGTTGCCAGCCGCTTGCGGCAGCTGCGTGGTTAATGAAAAAGACTAACCAACAGGCAAAGCGGTATTCGCATTTCTACCCGGCTATTTACAGTACCTCCCCAACCCCCTTGTGTAATCAACCCCACCGATCGTGGAACCTTTTTTTCGGATCCTACGCGCCTCTATACGCTCTCAGCGTTGAGTCTCAAACTGTCGGCCCCCAAACGTGATGCCCGAAGCTCTAAGTTTATACATAACACCTACATGTGCCGAACTAGGGTACGGTTGGACAACGCACCTCTACAATCCCAGTTCCCGTTTCATTTTCCATGTTCTTTTCCACCTAAAGCCTTAAACCCCAAACCCTAACCACAAGAAGATGTGAAAAGGTTGCCCATCGGCTCGTAATTGGCCTGGACGACTCCAGCGAGGATGCTGTGCGCATCCTACTGGACAAGATCGCACCTTGGTTTAGGGTTTGAGTTTGGCGTTCATATTGGGGCCCCGCATGTATGGAAATTACCGTATCGGGTTTCAGGGTTTACGTAGGATTTGCTGGTTGAAGGGTTTCAGGGTTTGGGGGTTTAGGCTTGGGAGGATTTAAGGGTTTCGTCATAGCTCTTACAAGTAGCCCGCTCAAAGCCAAGCCCACTAATAGGCCCCAAGAGCCCTGTAACAGATTGCACAAAAACCCCAACACAGCCTTGCTCGGGGGTCTCCTTTAAGGGTGGCCCTTATGAACCCTATGTTGCAAGGGTATGAAGTTTAGGGTCAGTACGGTTTAATTACAGCTTTGTATGAGTCACTGGCCTGTCTGTGAGGTATGAGTTTGCCTAGAAGTGGCGATGCCACTGCAAGGTCATTTCTTGGGGCCTCGGGTACGGGTATGAAGGTGGAAGCCCCTTCGGATACCAACCTTATACCCTAAACCCTACACACTGAATTCCCTAAGCGCTCAACCTACAACCCCCCTAGAAGGATCCAAAGGGGGCCGGGTCTAGGGCGTTGGGTAGGCGGCTTGTTTGGCTAGTTCTTGGGATTCTGTAGTTTTGATACAATAGCAAGTGTAGCAGGGGTAGCCCCTATATATGGGGGAGATTGGATGTTACCCAAAAGCTTCTCTTAAACTCTAAACCCTAACCGCATGGCTTGTCTTTGGAATGTCAACTCCGCAGGCAAACATCCTAAACTAAACCCTTGACAGTCTATACTAGAGGGAAAATACTACACGGGCTGTGTATAGTTATTATATACTTGTTATCCAGCTGTTACCTATAGAGCCCATAGCAAAACCCCACTGTAAACCCCTAAACCCAGGGCAGCAATCTGAGCCGCTTCGGTACGCAGGTTTCTAATGACCAGCTCGCTCTTCGCATGGCGCAGGAGAGTCCCATGTAAGGCTGGTTTAGGGTTTGGGGTGCAGGGCTTAAGGTATACCGAGGTGCTATTCGAATGCATGGTTGACAAAGGGTAGAAAGAACCCACTTGAACCCGGGCATTCAGGCGTCAACTGCTAAATTATGTCTTCTGGATTTTAAGCTGGGCCGGCCCTCAGCAGAGCCTTCCAGACGTAGTATAAAGACCTGCTCTTTTGTGGAAATGTCCGGGTGTTTCAAAACAGGTGCCGTAAAGTCATGCAATAAACTGTGCCGTGGTACCTTCGTCATCTACTCCCAGATAGCCCTTCTCAAAAGGGTCCGGTAAGTTACATTAACAAGCACAAAATTTGCCTGCGGCACCATAGGCTATGTGTATACTGAGAATGAAGCTGACTCAAAAGTGATACAAACGCGGGACTTGGAATGTGAAGACTTGCAAACGCACTTGTTGGGTCCGGGCCCGCACAAAATGGATTGCAGTATTGTGTGCATGATATGAAGGTGGAACCCTCCGTTTTTTGTTGGACGTACGTAGGTGGGATGTGGGTCTTTCCATTTATTGGGGGTCAGGAATTCATCAAGGGGTGTATGTTTCACCCCGCCGATACATACCCTGCTAGATACCTCGATAAATACCTCGACACATACACCCGGTACTACGAAACAGACCCCGAAACATACCCCAATCCAAACATGTTTTCCCGAATGCGTAGCAGAAGGGTTCCCGTTTTAAGGTTGGGGTCCAGGGGTCCAGGAGGCGACGCGAGGTCGTTGCGTTTATGTTCGCAAAGCGTCCGCAAGCGTTCGCAGGCGTTCGCGGAGAGTCGGACATGCCGGAGAGTCCAAAA